TAATGCAAAACACTATATGTATATAAATTTTATCAGAACCAAGAGTGTTAAGAGTCAACAGTGTCAGGCTGAGTGGAGAGATATAGTAAACTACTTAAGCCAGTTTTTTGATAAAAAATTGATTTACAAACTTTTTACATCACATTCAGACAAAGAAAGCAATTTGTACATAAACTCAGAAACAGTTCCAATCCCTAAAAAACAAAATATTGAACCAATAAAATATTATGCTCTTCTCCAAGTAAGTTATAAAGTCATGTTTCCTCTATGATTGTGTCACGTTCAACAAGACAGCTCAGCCCATGCTTCAAAATCTCTAAATATACCAAAACTTTACCCTACAGAAGATATTCAAAATTACCCAATATATCTGGAGATTTTACATACATAGAGATTTTAATATTGACTGAAATTTCAAGTGCATTAATGCCAAAGCATCTGAACTATTCAGAAAAATAAATGGTCATCGCAACAATTCTTTTGTTCCGCTTAGAAGAACTCAAGCGAAGAAAGTTAGATTGGCTGATATTCTTATTCTTGTATGTAGTTTAATTAAAAAGAGAATAACGTAATTAAGCAGATGTTGGTTACCAATTTCTGCTAGTGATGATCAAATCAGCTGCACCCGGAGGAAAAAGTAAGGTGGTAGCAGTAATCAACTCGATTATTCAACAAATTACAACTAATGTAGCAATGAAATATCAATTGGAACCAGTATTCCAATAATTTTTTTTTGGCTTCAGAAATACTTTAAATCGAAAAACATCCATTGCTTCATTACTACAAAACTACGTCATTATATGGTCACCTGGTAATTTAAGAACGAATATCTGTTGTTGATAGATCAGTTGATTTATTAAGTTAGATAGTTTGGTGGTTTTATTTCTTCTGCAGTATATTATACCCATCTATTCATTTGAAGACGTGATGGAGTGATGTCTGTTATGTGCCTGCAGTATCTATTCATATGGCATGTATGTATATGGAAAAGTTACTACCATAACTGCATAATCCATACGAAATATTGAATAGACGTTGTTAATATAACAGAATCGAAGCAGTTATACATAAAGCACTATAAAATATATGCAATCTTATATTTATTAAAAAAATTTGTTAAATGGTTTTGTTTAGTTGAGGACTGTGAAGATCATACCTCAGATGTCATTTAAAAAAATAATTACAGATAAAGAAAAAAAGACAAAAGGAAAGATTTTGATATTGAGAATGAATAAATATATGTTTGGAATAATAAGAAATAAATTTCTATTCCACACTTAATATTGTTCTGAGGTAATAATATTATATCATATAAAAATTTTATAGAATCACTTAATACTGTTGTATCTTCATATTAATTACAAATATCAAACCTGAAACACAATTACTACATTTGTATTTTTTTCCAGGCATACTTGTATATGATGGATTATTTATCTTTTGCTAATGAGCGAGCAGAGCTCAATGAATTAAATTTATTCTTAAACGAAAATATCTGTTACGTCAAAACAAATATTTATACATACAGATATGCTTTGTAATTAAATTTAATATAAAGTATGTAGTGAATGTTCATAAATACTCGTATAACATTAGCTAAGTCTTCATTAAAGTATAGTATCTATACAAAAAATTTTTATTAATATATGCCAAGTAAACCTGAAGGAGAGAAAGAATAAAAATATTTTTTACTTGACTGGCGTAGGCATTCATACGAGTTTTGTTTAGATACATTCATTTATAATAACAGCATTCACAGAAGAGAAGCCGTACTCTATTTTATTGTAATAAAAATTACAAAGAATTTCATTGAAATGCTGTAAATGAATGTAAATTTAACTGCCAAATCGGTCGTCAGTGCCATTGCCACTGCAAACAAGAAGAAGCAAGTAAAAGTGCATACGAGTACAATATCTTCGGGTAGTTGTTATGCATCGATGATATTTAATTACATTCTATCATAATCTGTCGAGCGCAGTAAAATGCCCTGCATTGAAATCCACTAAATTCATTCGCAATGAAGGAGCCCATTGCACTTCTGTTATGTCGTCATGTTGTGTATATATATAGTCTTGCTTCTCTTGCAGTACTTTTAATAATTCTTATTGTAATTGTTGTTGTACGGCAGTTGCAGTGCTGACAATCCCTATGGATGAAATACACTACACTATACTACACTGCACTACATAATGCAACTAGCAAGCTCCCATGCGCGTAATCTCATCAAATAATGCAATTTTCTAATAATTAATTTTGTGTTATTGCAATTTGTTTTATTTTCAATTTATTTATAGTTTCTGACATTTTTTATAATTTTATCGTATATCGCGAATATAGAGCTTAACTCTAGAAATACGAAATTATAATAAATAGTATTTAAAGTGATTTGATATATAGGGAAAAAAACTGATTAAGATAATCTCTATGAACTTTGAGTAGAAACTGCTGTTTAAGCGAATTGATTTTTATATTGTAAAGAAATTATATGTAAGGGTTAAAGAAGATTTTAATATTATTATCATATAATATTGATTGGGAAAAGCCATAAAGAAAAATGACATTTTAGATATCTATTACTTTAGTAATAATATATAATATATTCTTTAATATATAATACATATCTTATATAATAGTATAAAATGATATAATATATATGATATAATATATATATATAATTATACCTATATATACTATCATATATTAATATGTATATATATATATATAATATAATATATAACATATAATATAATTCTTTATAAATAATTTTGTATATTATTCAATTTAATACAAGCTGTGTATTTCAAACTCCATTAACTTATATCTAATGAAGCAACACCGTATAGTTTTGCACCACCAGATCACAATTTTTTAAACTGTTATTACGATTTTCAAAAATAAACATTTTATATTCCAGATCTTCAGTTTATATGGGACTAATTTAATAGGGGATTTTTAAGAACTAATTCAAATTTCATATAATAAAATTTTGTGGAAAAAAATTTTATATTTGTACTCTAGCTTCTGGTATAAAATAGAATATATAGTATATGCTGATAGTAATTATAAGATTTTGTCCACCAATCTCGATTACTTTAGCATATATGCATTTTAACAAAATGCAAAAACACTGCCAAAAAATATTTTTTAGTATATGTTCCCGTGACATAATCTACGTCAAGATCTGGCTACGTTTCTGATCTGGACGGCCAGCTCATTTTAAACGAGTATTACTTTACAAAAGGGCAAGATTTCCTTAAGTTTTTTATTGCCTTGTTTTATAAAGCTATGAAACTAAGCTTTAATTAAAATAATATGTAGATTTAAGTTGATTCTTTTTTTTAATATATATAATTGGGCACCAGAATTCCCTCTTAGTAATTGTGACTGCTTTATTCGTGTAGTTTCAATGTATTTAGCACTAGTAATACCAAATAAGTCCATATTGTCTTCATAATTTCGTTATAGAAAAGACACTTCGTACACTAGATACAAGCAGCGTCAGCTCTTATTAGTTTTATTTTAAAAGAAGAATGATAAGACTGATTAGTTGATTTGATTTCTTCTTTAATAGTAACGGTTATGGTCCTGGCTGTTATGATTCACTATGCCTAATTTGAGAGGCGGAAGCTTCATTTGCATTGTTTTGGCTTTATATTATATATGAATTGTATTTATTTAATATCCGAAATAGTGATACTAATGAATAGCATTCAGATTCTATACATATTTTTTACTTGATTTTAAAATCAAGTTACAATTATACCGAAACTTTTTGTGGAGTCTATATTTTGACATCGTGATCTATTCGAATTTTTGAGGGTTTTATCATTGTAAGAAATTGTAAAAAAAGAGTTGCTTTAGTAAATATTTGTCAATAGATGAATATGTACTCCATCTACTCTGCTATATATACTATACTGTGTACTATACTATATTATATTATACTATATATTAGTATAAATTTCTTGGATTTGACATTTTTATGCTAAAAGTGATATCTTATTTTGAAGTATTTCATGTGTTCTTTCTATTTTATCTTACAAAAAATATATTTTATAAACTCTTTTATCTACAGTTTCAAGTTTAAAATACAAATTTTCGGTATGAAAAGAAAAGCTTCTAATTCCGAAATCACATAAGTACTTCCCGAAGTTAAAAAAGAAATCCAAATACAAGATTTTTTGATTTATTTTCTTCTATATTTTTTTTTTGGTTCTCAGCCGTTGCTATATCGCAACTAAACAATTATTTGATTATGGGTCGTGAGTATGTCTGTCAATAGGTTATGCATTCCCCACCAACAATAACAAAACAAAAAAGTTTTTCTTGCCTCTCTGACATAAAGAAAAATCGTCTATCATTTTTTTCGCTACATTCACGCAGGTTTTTCGACTTCCAAAAATTAAAATAGAATTTATTCATCTACCGGCAAAGTCAGCTGTGCTGCTCAGACAGCAGTTCGACGTTGCCGGTGAGTTGAATAGGCGTACGGCGTACGGCGTTCGTACTACTGAGCAGTGCCCTTGTGTGAGTGAGGTTATTAAGTGAATGGGTGAGTGGGTGATGGTGATGTATTTCGTATCTAAATTCTGCTCAATAAAGCATAGTGGGTGTTTGAACATAGAAAACACGAATATAATCGTATGTGAGGTTGTGAGTTTGTGAGCTTGTGAATGCATAAATAAATAATAACTTGAGGCCGAAATTTTTCCTGCTGCGTACTTGTGGTGTTGGAAAAATTGGAAAGTGTTAGAAAAGTATTTGTTTACATGTTTTGACAAGATGCCGCGTTGAAATAATTGAATTTTCGAAACGTATGCTCTTTATATACAATATAATATATCATATAAAACCTAACTATATTTGTTTTGCTTTTGGCGGAAAAAAAAATAAACCAAGCTGCTTTCAATAGACTGCTTGGTGCACCTGTGTCTGATAATGATATCTATTGTTCATTATTGATCGAATGAGTTATATAGGTAATGATATATTGAATAAACTCAAGAGTACTTACTTTGTCCGAGATGTACTCTCTTCATCCATGGATATATTTGAGGTGGATTCTTTTTGCCATTTCCACTATTTTGACTACTTCCAGCCTCATTGCCGCTGTCACTTTCTGAATCCGATTCTCCGCCGACAGGACTATGCATTGGAACGTTTACATTGTTGCTATGATTATTATTAAGACTTGCAGCTGCTGCTGCTAGGCTACCACCAAGTACCCCCTTATTCAATGATCTTGCCACACTTTCAACCACCGAACTGGGTGACAGTTTGGGTGATATTTCCCTCGTCGATAAGTCCTGTGGACTTGCAAGCGATGGATTATTATTATTATTAGCTGTGTTGTTATTATTATTACCGGTGGGTGTTGAAGGATCATTGGCATATTTACAACTTATGTTTGTTTGTTGCTGTTGTTGCTGTTGCGGGTGTTGTTGGGGGTGTTGTTGCGTAGCTGCATGTTGAGCCGTCGCGTGTGCATGTTGTTGTTGCTGTAGTAATAAACGCTGCGGCTGTAATTGTGTGTAGTCAACCATATCAGGATTTGGTTGTGCTCCGCCGCTTGCACCACCTAAACTATAAGCTGACTGGTTGGCATAGTGAGCTTGTGGCGTATTTGGATATAGGTTTGGTGTATATGCGGCTGCAGCTGGAAAGTAGTCATTATTTCCAGGTGTGGCAGCACCAGAATTTCCCTGAGCACCACTCGAACCGCCACCACCGCCAGTGCCAGGACCACCGTTAGCAGATGTGTTTGTACTACTACTTGGGTTGCCGCCATGATTTTGCTGGGCATTCATTTGTTGCGGATAACATGATGCTAACGAGTTAACAAACTGATATGACGACATTGCAAAACAATCAGGATCCATTTTTAAATGATTAAATCTTGATACTAAACCGTAATGCTAACTTGTTTCTATTTATATTAGAATATGTAAGTGGGGAGTTTATCTGAAATAAGAAACAAATTCAAAACAATTATTAAAAAATTTAAAAAAAATTGAAATATTAAATATTAAAATCTAAATTATTGATATCAAATGAATAATTAAATTCAATTTTAAAACTTAAATTTAGTTAAATATTAAAATCTAACGAATGAAAACACTTTGTTTATTAAGTGTGACTTAAGATATAAAATATAATTTCAAATTAATTATAATATATATAAAGTAATACTTTTTATTTTTTGTACTCAACTTATAATAATAATATAATATTAAGGGACACATGGTTATTATACTGAATGAAATTACAGGTATTAGGCGATTTTTCTTCTGGTTCTTTATAAAGAAACCTTCTAAAGCGAAAAGCCATCCATGTATTTACTTAAAGAAGATTGCCTGGAGGTGAAATAAGGTAATGGCAAAGGATAAATGCGGACACACTGATTGCAATAAACAAATAAAAAAAGTAAAAAAATAAAAAAAAATGTAAAGTCAAGAAAATTAAGTAAAATTTGCATTTTTCGAGTTGAAGGTTTAGTAAACATTTGAGTTTGCTTAAAAAATTTATTACATTATTTCCTTATTTGCCAGACGTTAACTTCCCGTTAATGAAGCAAATGAACACAAATATTCGAATGGTAGAATTAACTAGAAAAACAAAACTAACAGATAAATTATTTGCTTATATAAACTTAGCATACCAAACTATTTTCAATTAGAAGACTCGTAAAATAACTGAATTAGCCACCGACCAGGGGATTAACCAGGGGATTTAATAGGATTTCGGTTTTAATTAAATTTTTCCATATATATGTGTTTGTATTTTTTCTTAATTTTTTTTTTTGTACTCTATTCTATCATTGTGAGTGAATAATTATTATATATATTAACATAGAATATTTATTTATATATATGTATATATTCTACAGACGGCTAAAGCCATGTTAGACTTTTCTTATTAAATTACATTCTTTAACTTTATGTAAGTACAATATTTATTTAAGTTGATAAATAAAGATCTTACTAAAAAATTATGATATATTAGGTTTACTCAAATATCTCTAATGGAGACGAGAAAATGAAGAAGACAATAAATAATTCTATACTAAATTTTAAACCACAGTTTTTCTGTAAAAATCATAAGACCATTAATAAAACCATTAATTTATTCTTAATCATAACGAAAACATGAATATATTTCGCGATGCTCTTTTATCGCCTTATATATCGATACATTTCTCGATAACTAACACAGTTTATCAATTGACTTAAAATGAAGTGAGTTAAATAAAAATCAATAAGCCATTAACCTATATTTATTTTTAGTTAACGTGAAAGCGTGTATTAATTTTGCAACATATATTAATCAATCTACATGTCGATAAAGTACTCGATAACTAAAACAGTTAATCGATTGATTTTGAATAAAGTTTATTCAATAAATATTATATGAAGCCATGAACCTATATATATCTATTCGTAAGCAGTATGAAACGTGAATCGATTTTGCAATGCCCTTTCATCAAATTATATATCGATAAGTTTTCCGATAACATTTCCGACATTGTAAGGTAGTTGGCTTCAGTCGTTTGAAGTATGAAGTTTGTTCATTAAAAAGCTTTAAGCCATTAATATACCTATAGTTAGACTTAATTAGAGTGAACGTGGCTTGATTTCGCAACGTCCTTCTATCAATCTATATGTTGATAATTTATACGATAAATTATATAGTTAATCAAGTAAATTCTTATAAATTCAAATTTTCAAATATGAATAAAATTTATAAGCTTTATTTGCCATATAAAATAAATGTGTAGTGTTTATATGAGTTAATATGTATGTGTATAAAATTGTAGTTTATAAAAAACTAAATAATTTATTTTTAACTAAAATATCTGTTTAAAGGGTATTGAGGCTTTGACTTTCTTATTTTCTTATTTTTGGCTCTCATATTAGATTTTTTTTATAAACATTCGCTTACATGCAATCCAGATAAATAAGTAAAACCTATAATTTGAGCAAAGGAGATGGTGGTTCCCTTTGGCGAATTTGGTTAACAAAAGCAACGTAAAAGATACAAAATTGATAAAATGAGAAAGGCCGTCCAAAACAGAAATGTTTAAAATGGAAACGTGAAAAAATGTAGCAGGAAGTGAGAACGAACTAAATAAAAACGAATTTTTTAACTTTCTACTCATTTATTAAGAGCCGTATTAGAATGTGTGATGTGCATTCAGTTAACCCATGAAACGTTTATTGGGATTACTGGTATTACCAAGTTCTCATTTAAATTTAATAAGTTTTATATCAATAAGAATTTAGTTTACTTAATATTACTAAAAAAATTAATTACAGTGTATATCTTACAGTGATAACTTATTCTATAAAAATTTTAGTATTTTTTTTTAATTTTATGGACTTGGATTATCTCAAAATTTACTTATTAAGAAATCTACGAACAGAAGTCAATATTGGTGTATATATGTATTATTATTTAGTTAAATGTGTAAAACAATGCACATGGATGATATAACTGATAAGATATTATTGGGGGATAGAACTGAAAAATGTCACATAAAATAGAAGTATTTTTGAAATATATTCAAACAAACCAAAAGCAGCATTCATCTCTAATCTATTATACAGTTGATAAGGTAGAAACAATCATAGGAAAGTAGACACAGTTATATATTTAATATAATTTTACGGGCGCTATCTTTAAAAATTTCTCACAGTTTCGAAAAAGTATCTCATTAATAACAAGACATCATATATACTTATTTAATACATCATAGACATCATATGTACTGGTTATGTATATAAATAACGAACCTGTTAAAATATAGTATCTGGTGAAGTATGTATAAACAACATAAGTTTGAACTCAATCCTAATTTACTGGATGCATACACAGTACGAAATGACTGGGAGAAGGTACATCTTAAAACAAGAACCCTAAGGTAATATAATAGTCTTTTAAAAAGTGTGCGTAAAGCCTGGTTTTGGTTTGCTCATATGCCTGACCTAATCACAATGTGATCAAAACAGGATACTAATTAAAAGTAGGCTAATGTCAATATTGGTCAATCGCTAACAAGTACAATAATATTACTTCTATCATATGGTCAACTGACCATTTGCTTAAATGGTTTGGGCATAAAATATAAAATAGGTTGTCTAAAAAATACTTTCAACGATATGCAAAGACCTGGATCCCCCAGAATATCGATTGCATTTTATGAATTTTGGATATTAATTCATATACGGACTCACTATGTGTGAGATTTATATTTGATTCTTAGAGTATTATTGATTTTCTTAACTTTGATGACAACAAATACAGTCACTTTAAAGTAAGACAATTGTCCAAAATAATTTAAAGAATTTAGAAGCCAAGTTATAGTAATTGATTTCAATTCAAAAATTGTCTAATATAAATAGATATGATTTTTCAATAAGATCATTTTCTTCTTAAGGATTATTATAAGAACTAGGATTACTATATATAAGAACTTAGTCTATTTACACATGATTTCCACAAATCGTGGTTTTTAGCTATATGTCTTAACTCTTAAATGTTTCATTCGTTTCCTTATTAACGCTTCTATGCCATGTCATCTTGGGGCGTCCTCTGTTTCTTGCACCTTGGGGGTTCCTTTTTCTTAAGGATATTACAATAAAATAGGCTAAGTTGAAAGCGTTCGGTGGATGAGAATGATGCCCAACCAACTATTATTAGTCAAACATATCAGATACCAGCCTGCACGACATCTTTGGTCACGCATATAGTTGATGACTACTAAAATATTTTCTAATTGTATATATTTAGTTTCAAAGGCATATGCCGACATATACGTATACTCTGAAAATACGGTCAATATATATAATATATTATGTTAATTAAATTGTTTGATGTTTCAAGCTATTTATTATAAACCAATAGTGTAAGTTCATGTGTTATTGAATAGGTATAGGTTATGAAGGTGCTTCAATTATTACAATAATAGTAATAATAACAGCGATTATAAGATCTTTAATATTGAGTGTTTCTCATACAGATAAAATAATTAATGCAAACGAGTGAGATATAATTTTCTTCATTTTGTTAAATAAAATTACAATTTTTTAAGTTTAACATTTGTATGTATAACATTTGCGTGATTAAAGCAATTTAAAAGTATTTTTTAATTAGTTAATTTTTTCTAAAACGCGTAATTTGTTGCACTTGCTACAAGCGTCAAAGTACTAAATTATTTAATAAATAATGTTATTATTTAAAGTTAAATATATTTTCCTTCGGTCAGTAGATCGTGTCCGGAAAGTTGAAATTAAAAGGCTTTATAATCGTAATGTTCGTGTAAGAGTGAATGTTAAGGCAAGATTTTTCATCACTAAAAAATAATTAAAAATCGAATTATTGTTTCAATTGAATTGTTGTTTATTTGAAAATGTTTAATTTTTTATTTTTTTAATTTTTTTAATTTTTTTGTATATTATATGCACGTATTTAACATCGGCGAAGGTATAAAGTGGCAATAAAAATGTTTTGTATCGATTTTATCGTTGTTTAGTTCTGCGGCTGATACTCGCTGCAAGTTAGAAAAGTGAATAACAATAACAAAGGCCCACGGAACTGGAATATTTACAATGGCAACGAGTGTTTCTTGGCCTCAGTTTGAAGTTGCCCACCTAACAAAATCGATAATAAAGTAAGGAGAATAGTTTTAAATGCTGTTCCAAGGTGTCCGCCTGCAGTAATGCTATTAAGGATTCGTGATTACACTTTATATTTTATTTAAATTTTTTTTTATTTCTTCTACTCGTTATTTCTACTATGTTTGTTTAAATTTAATTTTCTAGAATATATAAGAGGTAAAGATTTATCAGCTGACTCGTTAGTTGAACGGTTAAGAAACTGCTGACGAATTTGCTGTGGTAGTGAGCTTTGTGCTATTTATTAAGTCCGAATGCCATAAAAATCTATTCTTTCAAGTCAAGTGTAGC